CTGAGGCCCCTGCTGTGCCCCTGGCCCTTAGCAGTTTCCGTCTCTGGGAAGGGTTCTTGGGTGACCCCGCCGCTTTTTTCTGTCCCAGCAGGGCTCTGAGCTCAGGGCTCAGTTTCCCGCGTCTCCTTACTGGTGCATAAAATGGGTTGCCTGTGAGTTAACTGGGAATGTGTGACTGACACCTAGCCCAGGGCCTGGTTCACAGCAGGGGCCTCAGGGCTGGAGAGGAGATTGTCAATGCTGGGGCAAGACCTAGGACTTCCAAATTTCAGGAGGGAACAGGGTCACTGCTGGAACTGACCAAGAGGGTCCTGGGCATGAGCATGACTTTCAGGGCGGCATGACTCCTGCTAGAATCCAGGGAGGGTGAACAGAGTTCTGTAAACACTGAGAGAATCATGCAGTGTGTAGGCAGGAAGAGCGTTGGGAGGCCTGCTCAGCCTTATAGTCCGCGGCCAGGAAACTCAGGCCCAGGAAGGAAAGGGGCTTTGCTCCCAGGCACCCAGCAAGTGTGTAGCAGAGGCTGGACTCCAGCTCAGGTCTGTCTGACTCTGACGTTCAGTGCAGTGAATGAGAAGAAATGACCCCCAACGGGCTGGGAAGCTGTGCTACCAGAGGCATAGCCCCAACCGGGGTGGGGCCCTGGGACTTTCTGCCTTGACAAACCCAGAACAAGGGACTTAGGTCGAGGCCTGAGCAAGCTGAGGAAGGGGAGGTTCCTGCTGTCCCTCCTGTCACCGGTCACGATTCTCAGCTCTCTGCTCTGCTCCCTTTGTTGCTGATTTCTTCATCCCTTCCCCCATGCTGGAAAATGCTTAAGGTATTTATTAAAGAGCATTTGGGGTTTCACTTTTTTAAAATTGTGGTATCATATACATAATGTTACCATTGCAACCATTTTTAAGTGTATAGTTCAATGGCATTAAGTACATTCACATGCAACCATCACCACCAACCATCTCCAGAACCTTTCTGTCTTCCCAGGCTGAGTTAGAAGGCAGGCTGGTGGGGGCGGGGGGGGGGGGGTGCGAGTCTGAGAGTCCTGTTTAGGCCCCATCTTTGGCCCTGTTTCTAGCCCCAAAACACAATGGCCCAGGGCAGCTCAGAGAAGTCAGGTCGGCTCTGGGAGTGTTCCTGCCTTGGGGTAAGAGTGAGAAGGTTGCACTCAGGTCCAGCTCACATCTCATCTACTCCCAGGGTGTCCAGGGTCAGGGGGGCAGTACAGCCGCAGGCCAGGCTGGCCCAGTTCCTGGGCCAAGTGTCTCCAGTAGGGTTGGGGCAACACTAGGAAGCTTCCCCCTTCTTCCTGCTCAGAGAAGCCCACTCCTTCTTTCCTCTGGCCCCAGGCTCAGCACTCCTCTGTTATCTCAAGTGTGGGCCTTGGGGTACGAGGGCAGGGATGGGAAGAAGTGGCTGAATTGGGATTTGAGTCCCAGGAGTGTTCCCCAATCATTGTGACAATCTCAAGCACCCTGTGTGTTTCTAGCAGTATCTTGGGGATCAGGAAGAACGAGGCCTGGGTGAGCCTGCTCCTCTTGAGCCTCAGCTCATCTGGAAAAGGTGATAGTAATCCTTGTGATTAGCTTAGCTGCCATGGCACGCAGCGGGGCTCAATAAATGTGCTTCCCTCGCTTTGGAAGGGGGTAGTGTGAGGCCAAACTGACTTTCTCAGCAGAGGGCCATGAAGCTCTCAGTCCTTGAGGCTCAGCTGTGAGGCAGGGACCCCCCCCCCACCTTCCCGCCCCCGCGCTGAGTCTCAGCTGGGACCTCAAGCACATCATTCATTCTTCTGTAGTGTTTTGCCCTTGCCCAAGCTCTTGGAAGACTCTGTGGGCTCTGCGTTTTGAAGCTTGTTGAAATTTGCAGACCTGACGGTACACGGTATGAGGCCACAAGGGGGCAACAGTGGGCCATGGATGGCCTTGTCTTGCCAAAGGGGTGGTTTCTTCCTCCCTTGAGGATCTGCCTGCCAATCACCCAGCATCATGACACTGCCTAGCAGACTCCATGCCCGGCCAAACAATTTGGAAGGACAAACTGGAGGATATCCAAGGACCTGGGTCCAGTCTGCCTGCCACCCACAACTGTCTTGGCTGTGCATCCCTGGGCAGGTGTCCCCCTGCTCAAGTGCTTCAGTTTCCCCGTATGTGAAGTGGAAACAGTGACACCAATCATGGAGGCCTGTCCTTCCTTCAAAGGGCTGGTTATGGGATCCACTGAATCACCCAGGTAGAGGGAGAAGCGGATTAACTGTAGCGTCCAGCCGAATTGTAAAGTTTTGCTGGGGCTCCCAAGGATGCCCGGACACCCAGCGATCTCCATCAGCCCTCAGAGCCCCACTTTGTTTCTGTCCCCTTCCACACTACCAGCTTCCCCAGTGAGCCACACGATTGGCCAGCCAGCAGCACGGCCCGCCACTTACTGCCAACAACTTAGGGAGACAGAGCTGGGGAGTTGAGACTTTCCTCCTCCCTAGCAGCGTGTGGCTGGGCCCCTTCTGCATAGTGAGGAAGCCACGTAGCGTGACCTGGGCAGACTCCCCATACTGGGGTTTCCTTAGTGTTACCCCTCGGAAACAGAAGACCTGAGGTACCATCACTGCAGGCCTGTTCTTGTCCGTACTACCCTGGACGTGCTTGGTTTTGTCATCTGTGAAATGGGCATCCTGCGAGACTGTGGCCCTGGCTTGGTCTTAGAGCGGAGAAAAGAGAAGGGATTCCGAACCAAAAACGCTTCCTGGTGCCTGACCTGTCCTAGGGGTAAGCATTGCTGTCCCATTTTCCAGAGGAGGTGGCGGATTTGAATTTCCCAAGACGGCTGCCACGAGATCTACTATCGCACGTTTTCTCCTCAAAGATGATGTTGGCACTTTCCCCTTGAATGAGGGTGAGCCTCTGATTCTGGCAGGACGTGACACCATCTGATTTCTGAGGCCTGGCTGTAAACGGTGTCACAGCTTGCTGCCTGGTCCGCCTGGCTCATGCACCGTGGGGATCCAGCAGCTGTGCTGGGAGGAAGCCCAGGCCACACAGAGAGGTGTCCTGGCTCTCTGAGGTCCCAGGTAACGGCCAGCATGGGCCACCATGCCTAGGAGAGCTTGAGTGACAACCACACGGCTGAGCCTATCACCCCTAGAACCGTAAGAAAGAAACGTCGCTGTTTTAAGGTAAGCTTTAGGGTGATCTGTCATGTAACAGTCATTGGCCGTTGGATCGGAGGAGAGTATAGGGAGTCCGTGACATGATGACTGGATGGAGGGCTCAGCCGGTACGTGGCCGGCCAGGCCTTGAGTCTGTCTTTCTAACACCAAACCCTATCTTTGCCCTGACCCTGAACAGCTTCCTCTGGTTTCTGGGGGGGAAGGGGGGGGCTCTGACCCAGGAATTGTCCCTTGTACCTGCCCAGCCAGCAAAGGCCAGGCTGAAACCTTGCCAAGAGGTGCTCAGGGGCAGTCTGCAAGGACAGGCACACCCAGACACACACTGTGGTTTATTACACGCAGCGATAACCGTCTATACAGAGAAAGGAGGCAAGCATCTGGGCTGGGGATGACAGCTGGGAGCCCCTGTCAGAGGTGGGGGAGCCTCTCCTCAGAGCACGGTGGCTGGGGTTGCAGACCCCCTGCTCGGGCTGGCCGGGAATCCACCCACGCCTTCTTCTTCTGCACAGCTCATCCGAAGGACCATTTCTGGCAGGCTGACCGGAGCTCTCCCGGGTGGGAGAGTTGGGGCAAGAGGAGACCCCAACTCTGAGCTGCGGGCCAGTCTCCTTGGGCTGGCAAAGTCCCATCATGACCCTCTTCTGGGTGCAGCAGCCACTCCAGTCTGGGACCCGCCGTCCTCCACACTCGAGGATCGAGAGGCTCCTTGCAGCTGGGTCCACGGGTGGTGGTCTCCTCTGGGCCAGAGGGCACGTGTTCTCATGGCAGGCTAGCTTCCTGAGGCCCACTGAGCTTGGTGGGAGTGGGGGCGCAGCGTGCTCCCCAAAGCTCGCAGCATCCAGCTGCAAGTGCCGGGCAGAAACCTTGTCCTGTCCCGGTGAAGCCAAGGCCCAGAGGGGCCCCAAGGGGCGGGCAGCTGGCTGTGGCCAAGTCCAGAGGCCAGAGAAGCTGGGGCAGCTGCGTTTGTCATCCAAGCCCCGGACCTTTCTGGATGGGGTGGGCCCCAGGGCTCCAGAACCTCAGGGGACAGTCTCTCTGCTAATCAGGTGGCTGAGGGCCCAACCCAGCATCTCTGCAGCCCCTCCTGAGCCAGGCACTTTCACCCTCGTCTCCTTCCCGGGAGAGCCAAGTCCCACGGCTGCCCCTTGGGTACACAATTACCCTGGACCGGCCCGTCCCCTTTCCTGCCAGCTCCACGTGCTGATTGTTCCAGGGCTGGGCCAGGCCATGCACTTAAATGCGACA